TAATGTCTCAGGTCTTGACGTCGAGGACGGCGCATACGTGCTTCACCAAGCTTCAATTCCCTGGTCATGCATTCGTGTTAGCGTCAGGGATTCACCATTATCCCACAGCTTAGTCCCTACAGTGTTGATGACATCAACTCTGTCTATGCTTCTTCTCGTTTGCATTGATACATTACTTGCCAGCTGGTCAGCACTTTCATTACCTTTTACCCCTGCATACCTTATTCTATCGATCAATCCGGTAATCTGGTAATTTTAATTTCAGCTTCATAGCAAACGGGTCACCCCATCTTTGCTCCGCTCCTGTGCCAACGAAAAACACACAGAATGTTTTTGACAGTCCCTTGTGGAAAGACTGACAAACTGCTCTCTCAGCAAATCTAGCATACACTCGCATTAAAAGCATATGGTAGCCATCTGAAGTGCTAACACAAACAGCCCGACGTTAGAAATGCAGTTCATCATTGATGGTAGCAGAAGTCATTAAAAGATCAACAGTTGCACACGCGATCAATTTTAATCAAATAATGGCCCCACCAATATTGCGACAACTGGCATTGCGCCATTTTCTGGAAAAGAAGACACCACCAAGTTGGTCAGTCGAAAAACATTCCAAATGAAATCCGCAGCTCACAGTGTCACGCCATGCACTCAACTCAGAGGCTTTGCAACGAAACTATATACTTCCAGTCTACAAATAGAGCAAAAAAAGTAACGGCCACAGTCTGGCAGAAGCAAAAATTTGTGCCTCGGCTCAAAACAGTGGCAGTGCCTAGTGTTCATTTGGACCTGAAGCATTATGTGAGGGTTAATAAACTGTCACCCCAGCAGTACCCTACTATTAGCTGGGGAAGGGATTTAGGACATTACATACACCAGCAAGCCTCGCCCCAACAACGACCTGACTGCCTTCGTTAACGACTGTTCACCCAACAGCCATGCAGTTCTTTGGCACGAAGGAGACACCTTGAACTTAGGTTTCGGACTGCCGACTCCCTACACGAAGATATATGTGTGCTACTGGTGTCCCGTAGCCAAAATACTATCTCACTGTATTACTAAAATTCAGCACGCATTCTCAAACGCGCAGTAGTTAAAGAAAAAAAAAACACACACACCCACACACACACATACATACACTCATTACCTGCCACCCGCTTACTTGCTGGTGCAGCACACATGACTACATATTTATACAAGTATACACACACACACACACACTCACACACACACAAACACACACACACACATATATATATAGAATGTGATATTGGGCGCTTTAGACGCTGGTATCCATTCCTCACCTGGAAGGATGTCTGCAAGGCTGCAAACCTCAATGATGTCATCCTCTGCCCTATGCAGCCATGATTTGACCCTTTTAAACCTATTGCCCTTTTTCCTGAAGAGCATGTGGTGCAAAGGGTGCTTCAGATCTGAGCTTATCTTGAGGTATGCACGAGCCCTCCAGATCTTGATCCGGTAGTTCATGGTAGGGAAGTCAAGAAGGTACCTCACTGCTACATAAGAGGTGTCTCCAGTGTACCCTAGAATAATGCGCATTGCTTCATTTTGCACCGTCTCAAGTCTTTCCTTCTGTGTATGGCTGACAGTGAGGATGGCAAGAGCATATTCGATGGGAGAAAGTACAAGTCCCTGGAACAGAAGCAGAAGCAGTCTCTGCTCAGTGTTAGCGGCGGCCAGGACCCCCATTGCTGACAGGCCTTTGCGTGCTTTTGTTATGACATGGTCAACATGTTTTTTGAAAGATAGGCTCACTCCGAGGTATGTCATAAGATGTGTTCTCGTCAAAATTTCCTCGCTGCTTTCCACTGCTGCTAAGTCTACCTTCACTATATGCGTGTTCTTTTTTTTTTAACGTATCCAGAAACCATGAGTGCTCGGTACTATGGATATCGCAACCCTTCGGCCTTGATTCCATTGTAATTACCGTAAATCTGGGAGAAATGTGGCTTTTCTGCCTACCCCCGGGAGTGAACCCGGACCACAAGGAGTTCGTCACCTGGCCGCCGCGACAGTCAAGTTTAACCAACTTCGCTAGAGAGCTGGGCAAATATGCGTGTTCAAGGAGAACCACGTTATTGAGGCCTTCGAAGAGTTGACATGAGCATTAGAATCTGCACACCAGGAGGAGATGCGATTAAGTTCACTCTGCATTGACTGTGTGTGTTTGTGAGTGTATGTATGTGTGTGTGTATATATATATATATATATATATATATATATATATATATATATATATACATACATATATATATATATATTCTTACTGTCGTAATGCAAAATTGTCCTTTTAATTAACTAACAGAAAGTATTAGATTGTTTTCTATATAATATAGTAAACGGAATGGCTAATATGAGCTGTCTGTTCAGTTCAGGTCCGAAACAAGAGATACAAATTGTCAGAGATTGCTCAATATGCAGGGAATGGAGCAGACGTAATTACGACAGCCTGAAACGTTGCTGACTGCCTCCATGATGAAGATGGTGGGCGCATATGTTACATCCTTCCTGTCCAAGTGCTAGAGAAACAAACAAGTGGAGCCACCTGCGCACGTTTTTTTTTCTGGTTTTTATTCGTTTTCTGCCCGTACCTGGATCTGGGAATAGTGTTACACATGTAACAAACACCTACTATATTCTCAGGTACGTATAAGTACCGTAAGTAGGGAATTATGGTTTTTGATTCTTACTAAGAAATTAGAAATGTTTCTTTCGTTCGTGCGAGTTAGAAGAAAAAAAAAATCCTCAGAAAGTAGTGATGTGTGACTGAAAAATCATGACTGGATTTTGCACTTTATTCTTTAGTAAACCTAATAATGGGTTTTTCCCTTTTCATATGTCATTGAAAGTTAATTTTTAAAATTTGTATTATCTACGGCGCTGTAATATTTTAATTTGAGATAAACAATTGAATTTGCTCCCAAGTTTAGAGAACTTGAACTGACTTTACTTTTGATTTTCAAAATTGCAGCAGTGACTTTCAGGCAGCACGATGACGATAATTTGTTTGAAATTGTTGATTTGATTTACTTAATAAGTTAATTGCTAGGTTGTGAGAATGAGAATTTAAAATTTAATAATAGTATTAATACTTGTATTTGTATCAACATCGTCATCCCATAACACTATGTGTCGTTAAGTTTAAGGCCACCAGTTTCTGTTGACTGTCTGATCAGCTCTCACGACATTTGGCGGTCAGTTGAGTTAGTTGAGATGAACATCATGGTTGTATGCCTGAGGCCTGTCCATTCAGTCAGATTCTGTAACTGGGAAGGTCTTTCTTGGTCTGCCTCTTCTCCTCTTTCCCTCTACTGAGCCCTGCAGTATTGTTTATAAGAGGCCGTTAAATCTTATAACATGTTCATACCATTGCATTTTTCCGTTCTCCTTGCAATAACGGTCGCTACTTGGACGGCGACGGCCGCTTAGTCGGAGTTCAGTCCCCTGGCTGCAGTGCAATTACGGAGTGGACACGGCACGAATCACAACACACAGTGAGTTCACCATGGTGTCTATACCATGCGCTGCGTCTCACATTAGCCTAACCCTAGCCCTAATTATGTCATTTGTGTCGTTCCCTCTTTTCCACTCGGTAATTGCACTGCAGCCAGGGGACTGAACTCCAACTAAGCGGCCGTCGCTGTCCAACTAGCGACCGTTATTGCAAGGAGAGCCGAGGTTCATACATAGTTGCCAGCTTGCTGCATAATTTAATGACGAAACTCTTCATTTGTAATGTGGTCTCTGTATGATAGCAAAAAATTTTCTGAAGCATCACATTTCTAATGCTTGTATCTTTCTTTCAAGTTCAGCTGTAAAGGTCCACGTTTTACAGCCATATGTAAATGTACTAATAGCTAGTGCTCTGAGCAATCAAATCTTAGTTTTACATGAAATGTTTTGTTTTGATCTTCATAATGTTTGCTGCTTGGCAAGGACTGATGTTGTCTGGGAAATCCTAGACATGATTTCTGGTCTTGACCCCAAGTCACTTAAAATGAATCCTAAATATTTGAAATGAGTCACTTGTTCTAATTTGTGGCCTTTAACTTAGATTGGTGAAATAATAGTAAACATTTCATTATCATTTTTCATCTAATAGACCCTAAATTTCCAAACCTCTTTTGTCTTCTATTTCCTTTCTAATAAAAGAAAAAATGTGGTAATTTTAGTTTGGATGATAAATATGAAACAATTAAGTAGGCTCTCCTCTGAACTTCTACCCCAGCATTATGGCGGCCAAACAAATACCCTAACAGGGCCTCAGTCCTATGAAAAATTCGGACTTCCTGCTGAGGAAAAAATTGCAGCAAAACTAGGATCGGCTCCGAATAACGCAAAAATGCTCTTACAGGATCTCAGCGATATGTTAATTGCGGACCTGTTTCTGCGACTATGCCACACCGCTGACTGTTTTCCCGCACCGCTACGCTAGATGGCTGGGACTTCCGAGCAGCAGCTACCGCATCTCCTGCAACTTCCTCCAATTTATTTGCTCATGAGTCCCAGGCATCTAGTTTAGATCCCCATCCGCACTCTGCGTAGCTGGGGGGGATACGCTCGGCGGTGAGTTTAATCGAAAGAAAACTATCGCTAATGTGCGTAGGAGTGGGTGGTATTCCTGCCATCTCCATGTTAACGTCTGTAATGTTGCGTGTCTCGAAATTGTCAATGGCCGCTATTATCATCTGCTAGTATTGTCTGCCAAACTACTGGATGTAAATTTGCCTAGAAAAACCACACAACAGCCAGGGGCTGTTGAGGTTTGTTCTGCAACATCCTGTAAAAGATACGCAACTAACCTAACCACCGTCTGCAGTGTTGCATCTCTTGAAATTGTCAAGTAATCCTAGTTTTGCCGCGATGTGTTCGTCGCAGGAAGTCCACATTTTAAATTTTTTAGTCAACAGAATTACTCTTCTAACTTTGGACTATATTGTTTTTTTTCTTCCTCTGCTCCTCAGCAGTGAAACTTCCTAATGAGAGTTTTGGAAGCTGATCCTTCTATTGCATACAAAATGGGCAAAAATAGAAAACATCGGATAAGGAAAGCAAAAGAGAATGAGGTAGAAGAGTCAAGTGAAGATGGAAATGGTGAGACTTTTTTGGGTTGTGTATTTTTGTGTGTGGTTAATTGTGTTTATGTTCATTGTGAAGTAATTAAACACAGCACACACTGTGACTAGAAAATTCAACAGATGGAACAAAGACATGCACAAATACAGCTGTATATTTCAACTAGAGTCTTAATTAACTCTTTGAGTCCCAAGGGGTTTAGCATCAGAGGCCCAAGGCGTGGTAATGCAGTTTTTAAATTTTACAAGTGTACCACATTGAAACAGACCATACTAATTCAGTTGCCACGCAGCATACACATATTGTACATCAAAGTGACCAGGGATTGTTGAGGAATAGTTATAGAATATAGCTACAACAAATAATTGCGCTAACAATAAAATATTAGTAAATAAACAGATGGTATGTTTACAAAAATAAATTGAAATAAAAAATTTCCACTAATCACCATGGAACTCAAGGAAAACTGGTTACAATATATCAATAATGAATCACAAATGAATATGAACCACTTAATAATGTATAAGTAAAATAGAAACTCAATCTATACATTAGATTTTGTTCCAAAGAATCTTTTGAAGCATCATAACAGATCACCATTATTTGGTAAAGAAAACTGACTCCCAAAACAATAAGTATCTTCACACAAAACGAAGTTTATATAACACTCAATTTGCCTGTAATTTTTTAGCTATGTTCCTAAATAATAAGGGGAGTTGCACTAAAACTAACTGCCACTGAAGAAAATTGTCTTTTCTCTAATGTTTGTTCTTTATGTGCCAGATGACTTTGCTATCGTTGTACCCTTCGCGTGAGGTACACATTAGACATATCCCTCATCAAAGTTTGACTCTATAAATGACTGAAATACGCCAAATCGCAACATTATCTATCTAACTTTGGATAAATCTAATAAAAACCTACATTATTTAAATTTGAGGCTTCTAAAGCCATAAATCATGCTGGTATGCATGTAGAATGTTGCTTGGCGGCCATATTCTTTTCAAACAAACACTGATTAACTCGGCAAATCTCAGTAATATACTATATTTTCGTCTTTCAAACCACGTTTCTAAATGACCATGCCTGACATCAGACACAAAGAACTCAAAAGAAAGTTGAAATTTACCGGTCCGCATTTTACAACAAGTCAGTTGTAGATTTAAAACCTTCACTTGTCACGCATCGATTGGGCCTCGCGGTTGATACAAATTAGCGTGTGATGCGTTCTCTGGGACTCAGATAGTTAATGGACATAACTAAATATTTATAAACAGTTGAAAAGTTTGTGTGGAGCTAATAAAATCAGGATAAAATAGGTACAGGAAGAGTATGAAACAGAGGAGCAGGGAATATGTAGGACAAAAAATTGGATAATGATATGCTGAACATCAATTCCTATAGGGCTGAGAACACAAAACTGAATGATGTTATTTTCCAAGGACACAATTCTGGTTTTATCCTCAGAGCAAGATTTTATGGCAGCAGTGGAGTCATTTTTGCATTGTGGGTCAGAAGTATTGCTAACATTCTACTGGTTTCTCCAGTATATGCCTTTGGCTTTTTGTGTGTGTGTTTGTGAACAAATGCTAGCATACATAAGTTTATGATCATTGTATGATAAGAACTATTTTGACAAGACTGAGACAGAAACCTTGACCAGACTAACAGACACAAACCTAGACCAGACTAACAGACACAAACCTAGACCAGACAAACAGACACAAACCTAGACCAGACTAACAGACACAAACCTAAACCAGACTAACAGACACAAACCTAGACCAGACTTACAGACACAAACCTAGACCAGACTGACAGACACAAACCTAGACCAGACTAACAGACACACAGCATTGCTAGGCATACAAACTGTTACAGTGGTAAGTCATTTCCTAGCTGTTTAACTGTTCTGATAAGTAGAAGAACAAAAAAATATGCGACCCTTTACACTAGGGCTATTCAACTGAAGGCTCATGGGCTGAATCTGACCAGCAGAGGACTAGCAACTGGCCTGTGTATCATTGCCAAAAGAGTTATCTTTATACGCTGGGGCCCAGGCCTCTGACCCGCGATGAAGTCCATTTGCCACATTTTGACCACTGGGCAGACTTAGTTAAATAGCCCCCCCCCCCCCTACGCCCCAACCTTTCCCGGGCTAAACACTCTTTGAAGTGCTTCAGACATGGTGTCTCCTACACTAGTCACGCAGCCCTAGATCCTTAGTCACAGGGTTCCTCTGTCCTACCCTACCCTTAAAAGTGGCAGTTACAGGGAGTAAAGAGAGGCTTCTGACCCCTAAGTGTTGAGCAGGGTATTTGACTGTTACCTTCCATCGACGTCTGTAGCTTAAGCATTGTGAACGCGCTTGGATCCCAACTACAGTCGATTTGTCTTGCGGTTGGTTTTAACAGTGGTACCAAGAGCTGACCGTTCCGAAAGCAGTGGCGAACTACTAAACATAAAATGTGCCCAGAAAAACAGGAGCCAAAAAATGCTTGTGTTGGTTCTGGAACATCTTGTAAAAGATACGTAACTAACTTTTCTGTTACATTCCAGGATGCCCCCATGTTTCGAAAGCTGTCAACCTGGCAGCAATGAGAAAAGCTGTGCAGAAGTCGGATATCACCCTAGGAGAGTGCTCTGTAAGTTAAAAAGAAGAAATAGAATTTAATAAAGTGGCTAGATGCTTGCCAGCTAGCCCAAAGGTCTTGGATTTGAATATGCTCTCTTGTTGCCCCAGCCTAAAATGTGTACCAGCTTGTATCCTGGGAAAAAAGATTGTTGGTGTAATGTAGACCACATCATCCTTAAGTGCTGACTGACCTATAAAAAATATATCTAGCATCATATGTTATGTTGTCTCAATCAATGACACTGCACCTTGGGCATTCTTACGCATGCTCAGTCCTCAGACGCAGCAGAGACTCCAAGATACCTCAACTGATTGTTTCCATGAGGAGCAGGCTATGTCTCCTGTCTCGGCCTTGAAGACAGTATAGATGTGCTTCCGCATGCTTTACTCCCATGTCATGTAATCTTGTTGGTGTCAGAGACTCGTCATTTTTCCACTATTCCAGTCCTTACAGCGTTGATGACATCTACTCTGTCCTTGCTTCTTCATGTACACATTACGTTACTTGTCTGTTGGTCCGCTGGCTCATTACCTCTTGTGTCAGCATGACCAGATGTGTTAGCATCATATGTCTGATTAAAAATGGCCCTCAAATAAAGTAACACTAATCACGCTTGGAACAAGGTATTCTGCAGAAGCTTTTGGATCTGTCCACCTGTGGGAACTTTTCTAAACACACTTTATGCCTCACTAGTCGCATTTGTTGTCACCATGGGCTATAATTACCATGCCTCCCTAAAGTACAAAACACTGTCATCTGAAAAGACAAAAAGGTGCCAGCCAACAACTATTTAGCTGTATTGTCCTTTTTTTCCCCCCATGCTGATGAAGGCTTTCTAACCACAGCAGATAATTTGTCCTCATTTTGTGTTTTATTGGGAAACTGACTAATTCTACTTCTGGTCTTTTTTCCCCTTCTGTTCTTATTTTGTTGTTGTGTGTGGTCTTTCTGCAGTTCATAATCTCTTGTACTACCTTTCATTTTCCAGTGGATTGTAGGTCCTTAACTAACTAAAGCCGAGCCTTTTGTAAATTATTTCATGACTGGTACAATTTTTGCAGCTATTTGTTCTGCAGAATCAGGTCGCCAGTCTCACACCAACCCTTATCAAAGATCTCTTAATTTATGACAGCTTTGCTTGCTGCTGAAGATGGGGACGGAGCTCTTATGGAGGTGTACCGAGTGCTGTGATGTCGTATCTTAATTCAACATTAAACTCTTACAACACACAAGGGAGATTAGTGTTAATACTCTTTGAATCTAGAGCTGCCATGGTGTTGCAGCTAGACGTTCACCTGCGGATCCAAAGGTTGTGGGTTCAGGTCTTGATGGAGGTGGACTTTTAAAAAAAAGGGCCTTGGCTTCCAGGTCGATCCAGCCTTAAATAGGTACCAGAGAAAGTCCTGGTAATGATAGGCGACTGGCGTGATATTGACCACATCACCCACCTAGTGTTAATTGGTCTATAAAATATAGGCTTAGCCCTATATGCCCAATATACCTAAAGGCATGGAAAAGGGTCCTGTACTTACTTGCTTACTCTTTACTTCTCTTTCAGGCACCTTTATAACACGGGCATCACATTCTCTAGTATTGTAACTACATTTGTGGAGGTGTGTGTTAGAGCTACTTCCCCTTATCAAACATTTTATAAAAGGCATCTGATAAAGAGTTGGATAAAATAAAATGTGTTGGGCCAAAAGGTGCTGAATTTGCAGCTTAGCTGTAGACCACAACATAACCTGTCACCCCCTTGTTTAAGGACACACAGAAAAGGCGTATAGTCTTGTCCTGCTAGCTGTGATCATTATAATCCTTCTGTATCTGTCTATAAAGTGTTGTTTGCCATCTTTTCTGTTTCCCAATTATCTGCAATATTTTCTTTCAGGGTTGCGTTAAAGATGGTTCTAAGTCATCTTCACGAGACCTCTTTGGGGGTTTAATTGAAGGTGCACCCCCGGCAGATGGGGATGATCTGGAGCCGCTGGAGACTACAGTATGCATTTGCTTACAATGTGGCTACCAGGTAAAACTTCTGTGTTTTGTTGGTAGAGATGTTCTGGAGGAGTGATTTTGCAGAGTCATTAAGAAAGAAAAAACGGGGTTAGGGTGGCGCTTTTTAACTGAAATAATATACCATGGATTGAGAAGAAAAGAAATACTGACTTACTAAAAGATCCATCCATCAAGTAACCAGCACCTTGTCCTAGAGACTGAAATATTTTGCCATATCATGCAGATTTGAAGAACAATAGCAGAAAAACATGGTACCAGGAAAAAGTGGCAGGAGCCAATCAGTACAAAGATTGGGCACAGGATATAAGTAACACATTGGGTATAAAAATGCCTGTGATAAGAGAGCTGGCGAAAAACTGAGTTTCTTTTAGACCGACTGTGATGAAAGCAACATTCTGCAAAGGGCCTGCTACATGATAATGATGAGAGTCATGTTCTGCAAAGGACACGTGACAGAATGAAGAGCAAAAGTTTGGCAGACTCAATGGTATGTTGCACTTAGTGATAGTAGTTGTCATTTTGTATATTTCCAGGGCTGTGATCGTAACTCCCACAACAAGCACGCACTGAAGCATTACAAAACACCACATTCGGGTATTCACAGCATTGTTGTTAATCTGACTACATGGGTCACATGGTAAGCATTGTGCCGTTGTTTTTGGAAAACTTTGCAAAAAATGTTGTGGAGTAATAGAACAAATGAGGCAGCCTTCCTGGAGATAAATGAAAATCATAAACTGGTTTGAGAAACTTCAGTCTATGTTTTTCAGACATATTATCAACTTCACTGCACCGAGTTTTATCGCACGTAACTCAAGTCTCTGTCCTCAGAATGGCTAGCTGCCGCCAGTAGTAATGATCTCCAGGATCTTCTAAAAACTGCACTTGTGAACCGAAGGCTGCACTCATGAAATGAACCCACAGCCTTCAGAGTGGAAGGATAATGGCTTGACCACTTTGGCACAGAGACCCACAGACATGTTATTAGAAGGAATGGCCTTGAGAAATTGGTAGCAGCTGGTAATGAAAAAAAAAAGATCAAGGGAGAGGGAAAGAGAGAAATAATTGTATGGATTTGCCATATGGAGAGGGCCAGACTAGAGCACTGGTCTGATCAATGATTTCGAAGATCTTGTGAAATGGTGAAATATGACAGCCTGCACTTTTTGGCACGGCAGATGATGAGTTTGATGATATGTCCCCTCTGTTTGGTAGAATGGTGCATCTATGAGGGTGACTGAAAGAGGTTGATAATTGCATGCAACCTCACAGACGTTCGGTCTCCCTGGTTGACTTTTTCACCTGGATAACACTAAAAAAAATGGCCTTATTACAATTGCAGAAAAAATCCTAAACAAAACAGTAGTTTTGCGCAGATCATTAATAAATTAAAATACATTTATCTACATTTTATTATTGTTTTTCTTCGAAATATACTACTAGTCAAAGGTCAAGGGCCACTTAAAAAAAAACCTTGGATGAAACCTTAAAATAAAACTTTAAGTAATATGAGTGAAAACAGCATTTATTGAATACCAAATTGACATATCACATAATGGAAAGACATATCCATTAGATGCAATGAAGCTGTGAAGTACGGCGCCCCCCCCCCCCCCCCCCCCACCTTTTAAAACAACACTTAATAAATGTTGGACATCTAGACATTTCAAAATGGATTATTACCACTGTTTGCAGCAAGGCATTCAAGACAGCGTAGATGCATTAAGTCCACAAGATTCTAAAGGGTCAACTACGCAACATCTATTGGCAGGGGATTATTTGTTGAAAATCTTTGACCAAGACATCGCATAGGTGCTCACTTATAGAAAGGTCAGGTGAATGAGCTGGCCACTCCATCCTGGTGATTCCCACAGTGCCGAATGAAGTCATTCACCATACAAGCTCGATGGGGATTGAGCATTATTGTCTTGGAGGATGGCATTACCACTTGAACTGTTGGTCTCAAGATTTCTTTTCTGGTATCTTGGGCTGGTCAAGTTGCCTTGGATGATGTAGCGTGGGGTCCTGCAGTGTCTGTAGAAGCCTCTGCAGACCCCAAACAGATCCCCTACCATAACGATCCACCTCTCGTATTGTATCATCAGTAAATCACTCTCCAGGTCATCTCCAGACTCAGATCCTATCATCATTGAATGACACAGTAAAGCGAGATTCATCAGGGAAGAGGACTTGACTCCATTTTACCTTGTCTGTGTGATGTGTTCGAGACACCTAGCAACACAGGCTCTGCAGTAAAAAAGAGTAAGAGTTATTTTGGCTGCAGGACGTCAAGCAGCCAGTCTAAATTTATGCAGATGTCTCCAAATGGTGCTTTGACTGACATTAACGTTCATAGTTTGTCTTGACTGAAATCTTAGGGTGGAACAAAACACTGTTGGACGGGGAGGGGCTGATAGATTGAGGTATCGGTCATCACATCTATTGGTGCATCTAGGGTGACTTGTTCGGTGACAATTCTCCACATTTTCTTTTCAGTTGCCTGAAATCTCTCCGAAATTCTTGTGAGACCTCAAACTGACATTCCAATTTGTGGCCTTCAGTGGATTCAGTGCATAACCAGAGATTGCTGAAGAACAGTTTTTGGGAACAAAATATTAAGACATTCCCAAAAATAAGTTCTAGTGAATTTTTTGAAGCAAAAATAATACAAGACCTGTTCTGATTTTTGGGAAAGCATGTTAGTTACATTGTTTACTGCTCTGTGACTTAGAGGCCAGTGGATGTGTCTTATCAGATCATGAAATACTCCACACAGGTGTTACATATGTGATGAAGAGGTCCCCCACAATCCCAGGATACAGGGTTGTATAGACTTTCTGCAGAAGCAGTCAGGGATTTCAAAGCCAGACCCGGTTCCTTTACCAGGTGAGTTGTTTTGGAACTAGTAGTTTAAGTTGTAGCGAGTGACCTCTTATAGTAGTCATCTGGGTTACGTTATTAGTGGTTAGGCAGGCTTTGCAGGGTGGTCTTTTGTAGTGGTTCACTGGGTTGTTTCTTGAGTGGTTTGCCAGCATGCCTTTATAGTGGTTCACCGGCTTGCCATTTATAGTGGTGAGTGAGATTTAACCCCATCAGGACATCCACCAAGCAATAAACACCCGGTGACACAAAATGCCACCATGCGGAAGAGGATCACCCGGGGAGAGGCATTAGAAACCCTGTTCAACTGTTAGGCATATTAGGTTTCCCAACTACTACGGGGTTGGGGCTTTAAAATAATGAAAATTGCGCCCCATTTCGAGGCGACAGATTTGCTTATTTATAGTGGTCAGGTTAGATTCCCTTTTATAGTAATTATTTGTGCTGCCTTTCATAGTAGCTAGGTTGCCTTTGAACCCTTTCGCCCCCTAAAATCTATTTTAAAAAAATGATGTGTTTTTTTCCCGAATTCCGTTACAAAAATGCATCTTTATGATTCTATGAAACTGTCTAAAAATATTTTTAGGGTAAAAATTATCAAATCCACTATGTGTACACACTATGCAGTTGCAGCCAGTACTGAAGCCATCATACAGGCATACAAGACATTGTACAAAGACATTTCAGTTAAAAACAGGAACAGTAAGAAATATTGTTTTCAGGGTGAGAAGGTTAGAAGTAGTCACTAGAAAGCCATGTTGCCTGTTAAATTTCATGACCGTATAGTTATATTACATCACAGATCTGTCATTTGAAAGGACAATTGCTGAATGTACCTTAAAGTGTGTTATTTCATGACCCTGCTAGTCGATCAGTAGAAAGTCCAGTTGCATGTTTTATTTGGTGGCCTGCGATTTGTTACGCTGAAATTTGTATTGTAGAAAACCCATTTCTGTGTTTCATTTTCCTATTATGAAAGATTGTTTAATTGAAGTAGAAATCCCAGTTATGTGTTTAATTTGTACTTTGTTACTTTGCAGGTCGATCATTAGAAAGCCCAGTTGCGGAAGCAGCCCCAGTTTTTGTTAATACTCCTGTAGGTAAAAACACCAGCCCAGTATCTTGTATGAAAGTCAAGGTAATGTACTTTTAAGAATACACTGTTAAGAATACATTTGTTAGATACGCTTGTAAGAGTCTGTATCTGGTTATGGCTTCACACGTGTGTCTTCATTCATTACTAAACCAGATGTTTTAAAAAGGTATTACTATATTTTGTATTGATATCGACAGTAGACAGCGTATTTAGTATGTTGGGTAAGTAAAATATAAACTTCACGCCAGTGGTACATGTGGCACTAGACCAATTTTTTTCTAGACCATTGGATTGGTGATTTGCTCACATCACAGTAGGTGTAGGTTGCTTCCAGTACACTGGATCAACCTGGTAGCCAAGGTCATTTGTTGAAAAATATGGATTCATATTTCAAGCAGGTAGGCTTCTAGCCCCTGAACTACTATGGCTTTCAGCCAGCATTTCAGTGAGCATTAAACCTACAAGTGTGTCTTGTTGCTTAGCTCTCCAAAAACATGTAATGCCAAGATTGACCTTATGGCTTTATGAAGAACTCATGACTAGAAGGGGTTTTTGCAGCATCCAGTCCAGCCTCAAGAAACTATCTTGGCTGTGCACCCTGGGATATGAAAGAAAATAAAAGAGCCGACGTGACTTCATGTAGTGGTTGCTGAGGAAGAAGTATGGACAAGGCAGACATACTGAATGTGCTTCATTCTGGACATTTTGAGACAGAGGAGTTGGCGACGATGAACTGCCTGTTGGAAATGGGTGTTAAATGAGGAGAAGCATGGAGAAACCGGTTATGGGGCAAAGAAAGAAAACGTGCCAGTCAGCTGCTACAGGAAACCTTGAGCATGGAGACACTGAGATCACGATTGGGTCTGACTAATATGCTAGGATGTCAATACATATAACAAATATTGCCTTATCACCCAACTGCTCACCCATAAATCCCACTGTACCATTAGTGGATGAAAGGCAAAAGCAAGTGGATGTCGCTTAGTGCAACACAGAGCCTGGCATATAATACCACAAAATCTAGTTTGAGAATGGAGATGGAGGCAGTCACTGTAGCCTTTCCTTCTGGCTTAAAAATCAGATATACACACATGTCATACTTGTAACTGGCTCACAGAGCATGTTGAGAAAGGTCAAGGCAGCATGCTATGTGCACAGTGACAAGTATTGCTTCAAAGGTCCCAGGTAGTTAGCCTCCTTTTTATATTTTCTCTATAGATCATGCCGGTGTTTGGGAAATGAACAAGCTATATATATATGTTGTAAGGGCCCTTTAGGGGCGAATGAACAGATGAATCATTACTGAGGAAAATGGCGCTGTGAGGAGTGACCAGGGGATCTGGCTGACGCTTAACACTCAGGGGAAAGGCGAGATGGATATACAAGCAGACTGTTACTGGTACCATCAGAATTGAAACTCTATGCTTGCTGCTGAAGATGGGGATGGAATGCTATGGGAATGTCCCAAATGCTGAAATGACGATTCTTTTTTTAAACATCAAACATTGTGGCTGAAAGGATGGCCATCGTCACTTCTTATAGACAAACAGAAAGTGTTAATAAGCAAAGTTCCATCTTCATCTTGCTTCTTTCTCTGACCTTGTTCTAGTTTAAAACGTGACATCGAATGTTGTTTTGAACACATTAAAATTTTTGCTGTAAACAGTTAGCGTCAATAACCTATGACATTTACTTTATGCAGTGGAGCATCTATGGGTATGCCTGGTGTGCTGTGATGTTGTTTCTTCAAAAACTGTTTATCATTTACTTATTGTAATAGACATTTGAGTGCATTGTTTCTTTTTTGGTTCTTCTAGGGTCTGAGCAATCTTGGAAATACATGTTTCTTCAATGCTGTGATGCAGGTAAGGTAAAAAATATGTGTAGAGTATTATTTTTCACGATATTCTTATCTACCATAATGTTTACAATGAATACTGTGTGTTCACATTTATAGTTCATTTGGCAGCTGCAGGGGTGTGGTTTTATAGAGGAGCGATGAGAACAACATGGACAGATGCAGGATGTAGTGGTGATTATCTTTGGGAAAATTGGCTCATGAAGAGAACTGATTGCCCACATCAAGAGCAATTTACTTTCTTTGAATGCCTCTTGGAAAGGGAATAGCTGGAATGTGTCATAACAGCCGGAGATCTAGAAAGGAGGGGAGACAGAACTTCATCTCTAGAGATAATATTAACAGTTTGCTTATCTGTCAAGTTTTCCTGTAATACATAGAAATAAACAGGTGGGGAACCTTTGAGGCCATAGAAACAGATATAATAAATAGTAGGGCTGTACCGAATATTTGCTTCGTATTCGACCTAATAACTATTCAGTATTTGGCCGAATAGTTGCGGTCGAGCCGAATACGAATAGTGGTTACCTTACTCTCGTTTCTGCATACACTGTGATGGACTGAAATAACTCTCATTAACACAATAGTTGCTGTTGCCTAAGTCTATCGTAGCGGGGGAAACTGCGACCCGGCTGTGTGGTACAAACTGCATAAAATGCCAACCGCAGTGTGTGTGCGCGCGCGTGTGTGTGTGTGAGAGAGAGAGAGATCATGCATTTTTCATTCTTTCAGGGTGTCTTCGCCCAAATCAATTTGAAGATATTGCTAACGAGAATATGAAGGTGCGTTTAAATTACATCGAACGATCGGCCGAGAGAACGATGGTTTTGAAAGAGGCGGGAGCCCGAAGACAACTAATCACTGACATCAGAAGGAGACAGTCGTCATTTTTCAGCGATGTTGTGAGAAGAGGGAAAATGGAACATTTGGTGACCACTGGAAAGATCTGTGGAAGGAGGGATAGAGGAAAACAACGATAGAAGATTCTTGACAGTCTAGTTGCATGGCATGGAGGTGTGTCAGCACACGAACTGATACATGCTGCAGGAGATAGCAGATTGTGGAGAGGCATGATCGCCCACGCCAGTCGGCAAGGCCCCTGATGATGATGATACACTATTCGTATTCGGCCGAATAGTTGGTCCCACTATTCGTATCCGGCCGAATAGTGAAAATCACTATTCGGTACAGCCCTAGTAAATAGACATTTATTTATTGGCACTTATAGAAAGAAGTAGAGTGATAGAAGTACACACTAAAAACCATAAAATTTTAAGACTGCAGTTACCACACCAGGAATCAAACCTGTCACCTCCAAATGACCACAGCACCTCACTGCAGAAAAAAAAAGTTTACTTCGGTGTATGACTAACTCAGCACCCTTAATTCATTTTAATGTGTACTTCAGCATCCTGAAATATTGTATTAGGGGTTATGTTTTCGAAAAGGTCTTACTTTAATGAAAGCACAGTATTTCTGTATTCTAACCATTTCTTTATCAGAGCTTGTGCCAGACGAGAGGCCTAGAGAACTTGCTGGTTGACCGATGCAAGGCTGGCAGACTGTACACAATACCTGCCCCAGAGTCCAGTAAGGACACAGATGCTAGTTCCAGTGATGATGACAAAGAAGATGAAGCCCCAGTGAAATCTAAACTAGTAAGTTTCAGTGTGAACACCACCACAGAGATATCATAAAACTTAATAAACTAGTGAGTTTTATGATCACCACCACAGAGATATCATCAACTTAATAAACTGGTGAGTTTTAATGATCACCACCACAGAGATATCATCAACCTAATAAACTGGTGAATTTTAATGACCACCACTACATATATATCATCAACTTAATAAACTGGTGAGTTTTAATGATCACCACCACAGAGATATCATCAACTTAATAAACTGGTGAGTTTTAATGATCACCACCACAGAGATATCATCAACTTAATAAACTGGTGAGTTTTTATGATCACCACCACAGAGATGTCATCAACTTAATAAACTGGTGAGTTTTAATGATCACCACCACAGAGATATCATCAACTTAATACACTGGTGAGTTTTAATGATCACCACCACAGAGATGTCATCAACTTAATAAACTGGTGAATTTTAATGATCACCACCACAGAGATATCATCAACTTAATAAACTGGTGAGTTTTAATGATCACCACCACATATATATCATCAACTTAATAAACTGGTGAGTTTTAATTATCACCACCACAGAGATATCATCAACTTAATAAACTGGTGAGTTTTAATGACCACCACCACATAGATATCATCAACTTAATAAACTGGTGAGTTTTTATGATCACCACCACAGAGATATCATCAACTTAATAAAACTAATGACCACTACCACAGAGATATCATTTAATAATCTGGTGAGTTTTTACCACCACCACAGAGATATCATCAACTTAATAAACTGGTGAGTTTTAATGACCACTACCACAGAGATATCATCAACTTAATAAACTGGTGAGTTTTTATGATCACCACCACAGAGATGTCATCAACCTAATAAACTGGTGAGTTTTAATGATCACCACCACAGAGATATCAGTTTATTAAACTGGTGAGTTTTTATGATCACCACCACAGATCAGTTTATTAAACTGGTGAGTTTTTATGATCACCACCACAGAGATGTCATCAACTTAATAAACTGGTGAGTTTTAATGACCACCACTACATATATATCATCAACTTAATAAACTGGTGAGTTTTTAATGATCACCACCACAGAAATATCATCAGTTTAATAAACTGGTGAGTTTTCATGTGAGCACAGTCAGATATCAACTTACTAAACTGGTAAATTTTAATATGAGCAGTCAAATAGATATCAACTTACTAAACTGGTAAATTTTAATATGAGCAGTCAAATAGATATCAACTTACTAAACTTGTAAGTTTTTTAAATAATGTGAGCACTGTCATAGAGATAAATAATCAGCTTCCTTTAACTCCAAAATGTCTCCACTAATAACACCACAGGCATCAGTGCCTGACTGAATAGAGCATGCTCTTCTTACATCTAGTGACCTGGAACAAAACCTAAGTGAAGCACACAATTGCTGTCTCTGAGGTCAGGATAGGAGACATTATAACCCTGTATCTCATGGGAACAGTCAGTAGGTGTGCCTCGGGATGGCTTCCCTGTCAAATAACATTGGTTGTGATAACATAATATCTAGAGTTTTTGAAGAACTGACATCATTGTCCTTGGAACATCCCCATACATGCCTTCATTGGCCATCATTTGGTGCCAGTGGCAACCTGGGTATATGTATGTCTTGTTTTTTTTTTCCGTTCAGTGTCATCCAGACCCTCTACACACTCCCTCTTGAATCAGTGAGGCCGGTGTTGATACTCTGTTCACTTTTCACTTGATAACGGATAGCCTTCACAACGTCCTCTTTGTTATAAAGTAGCTCACCACCCAGAGGAGTTGCAGAATCCTATCTGTTCATTTCGCTCTGCACATTTTTTGTGATGGACAGAAATTCAAAGATTACTCTTGACCCTAGTCTGTTCAGGGGTGCAAATCATTCTGCACATGGCACACATGCTTCTGTTTTCTGGAGCATACTCTGTGAGTCCATTACAGTTTAAAAACTTGTTTGAATTGTTCTACCTCCAGCTACAGAAAAGCTGCTATTACTGCCTCCACCTCCATTCCCATGCTGGCTGTTGCCCTAATTTAAACACATCTGAATGTCTGTGGCAACTCCTGATGACCCTGGTGCATTGCTTGCTTCTTTAATTTTATCACTTGGCTTTTGTTCAGTTCTGCTATACCTTCTAATGTACATTTCATATATTTGTAATAAAGCCATTAGAAGGTGTTTTATTTTATCATGCCTTCTATTTTATTCTGGATTAGAGAAATTGGAGACTTAGTGTTTTTCGAGTTTTTGAGACATGTTGTGAGAAGGAATGGACTCAAGTACTTGGTTACAATTGGAATAATTGATTTAAAAAGAGCAGGGGAAGGCAAAGAGACAACACTCTGAAGTTAGTTTTGAAAAAATGTCAGTGCAGACGAGAAGTAGAATTAGTCAGCTTCACAATACCAGGTCACAAATGACCAAAAAAAAATCCTTGATCAGCAAATGACACAAACGGACAGGGATGCAATTATGATATAATTGCTTGGCACCTTTCAGTCTTTCCAGACAATAGTGTTTTATTGCACTGTGAGGAGGCATGGGACTCGCAGCCCACGGTGATGGCAACTGTGACAAGCAAGACAAGCCCACGTTAATAACAGTTTTTCACAATTATAGCATAATATTTCAGGACCGTTCTTGTCAACATTTGTGTTTAGTCTGTTTCTTCTCAGACGCTCAGCTCTCATCCTTTCTGCAGTCATTTCTTCCTTCATTCTCAATCCCTACCTTATGTGCCCCCTTTATAGAACACGACCCATGGCATTTTGTTCTCACATGTCAACCTCAGTACCTGTATCATTCATGTCTCGTTTGCCTACATCCTCATACCATAGTAGAGGTCAGTTACGATTGACAAATGATACTATTAGAAACAAAATAATGTATATAAAATCACTTAGTTTCTTAGTAAGCCCGTCACAAAATATCCATCCCTGCTTGAACAGTGTTGTCACAGGAGTAAGTAATGTTAGCTCCACTACGTAAATACGTAACTTCTGTTTTCAAGTAAACTTTTTCCTGTTCTCTTTTTATATTTTCCAGTCAAGTATACAAACAGTATTTGGAGATCCTGGACCGGTGATGTTGGCTTTACTGAACTTTGTTCAAGAGATGAGGGGTGGCACCACAAGAAATGGAACGGTTAACCCAATAGCTCTCTTCACTCAAGTTTGTAAAAAGTATGTTTCTTCTTCATCTTGTTCTTTGATTTCACCAGCTGTAAACTGCGGCAGAAAGTTCTAGTTTTTTTCCACCACTTCTGGATATTAGTCTCGTTCCAGAACATGAGTTTAGCCTGCAAATATATTTTACAGAAAAGGCTTATTTTTGTGCAGACTGTTGGTTTCCCTACCTCTCAGTCACACGCACTTTGGCTTAGAAGGAAACACCCTTAATCAGTCTACTTTTACAACATGATTGGTATAGTATGTATGATTAGTGGGTGGGGGGTCCTATTCTTTCCCCCTAAAACGGGGCTCTGAAACCTAAACAGGCAAGAAGTATGTTTGATTTTGTATCTGTGATGCTGCAGTAACAATTAGCAGATAAGCTAAGAAGCACCTACTAAAGCAGCAGTGTGATTTCTGTGGAAAACTAAAATGATTAAAGAAAATAGACAAGAGACCATCAAATGCCTATCATTTGAAAACCCATGAAACAGATCAATTCCATAAAATCCAGAAGCTTGCACAAATGGTAAATGCATAAGGTGGCACCACTAGACTTGCAGTTCATTGTGGATGGAATTGGTCAGTCATGACAAACTGACAGTTATACAAGTAGTACTGCCTAAGGCACACCAATTTCAGTGTATCTGCTACAGATGAAAAGCATTTTGGACTAGAAATTTTCAATTAAAAAATTCAGCAGCCTTTATTCTGACAACTCATCTACTTTGTTAATATTTTTAATTTGACTCGCAATTAATGCTTGGCTATGTCCTGGGAAAGTAAAGACAGCCGGTGTAATGCTGACCACATTACCCACAGTGCTGATGGTCTGTAAAAATGTGGGACGCTCTGCCCATTAT